AGAGCTGGTTTTTTTTCCTTGGAGCCATCCCTCTCCTCTATGTTGCTGGAATCGCCTCTTGCAGATGAGACCCTCTGAGTTCGGTAGCAGCAAAGGGACCGAGGGTCTCTCCTCGCAGGGGCCGTGGTTGCTCGGGGACACTGCAGTGGGGTTCTGCTGGCGTTTGCAGACCAGACGATGCATCTCGCCTGCCAGCCTGTGTAAAACATAATGCTTGCAAAGAATTCGGGAAGCTGCTGTGATGCCTGCTGCCTTCCCTGTGTTCTTTTTACGCTTTGCATTAATAAAAAGTGTGGAATGAAAAAAATGCTGTAATATGGAGCAAGGAGTTCAAAAATACCATGTCAGCCTGCTACCTTGTCGCGTCCATTTTCAGCCTTTTTGGTGAACACCTCTTACGCTACGAGAATGTTTTTAATACCCTTGTCTCCCCTCTTGAGCATAACTGCTAATTCCCTAAGCGTTTCCCTGGCGCAGTGGTCAACTGTGAGCACCCAAGCGTGGAGAACGGGAAGCTGCTGAGCGGGTACCGCGCCGAGTACACCTACAGAGACACCGTCGTGTTCGACTGCAACTTCCGCTACGCCATGAACGGCAGCGATGCCTCCACGTGCAACGAAAAGAGCCTTTGGGACCCTCCGCTGCCCCGCTGTCAGCTGAGTAAGTGTGGTGGACCCAGCAGCTTTGCTCCGGTGAAGTTCCCACCGGCCTAGGAAGGCGTTAGGTTGTGAAAGCGACGGCTCCAAGATGTAACTTTTTGGATTTTTTTTTTTTTTTGGGCTAATCTTTCGGTAGCACTAAGGTGGCTTTAGGAATTCATGACCTGGGGCCATGGAGACTAAAGCCTCGTCCCATTCAAACTGGTGAGCATTTCTTGGTAGAATTCAAAGGGACTAAATTAACCTTACTAAGTATTTCTAAAGTTTGTTGGTAGAGCCTCATATGGTATAAACTTCATTAGAAATTACATCTCGTTCTAGCAGTGAAAATTACCACGCAGCCTGAAATTATTCCTGTGTTTTCATCTGTCTCCTTTGCATTTGCTCCTTAGTGATACTGATCTCAGATGGTTAAGTGCATCTCGGAAAGAACAATGTGAGCCCACGGGTTTTACCCAAATTCTCTCTCTTACGTTCCGTACCGTTGTGCGTCTAGCTGATTATCACTGGCAATGTCCTTAAGCTGCTGTTTCATCCCTAGGCAGCTGTGACGACCCTCCAGATGTGCATAATGCTGTTAAAGCAAAACTTGCTGGCAATTTGTTTCCTGTGGAGACTGTCGTCACCTACGAGTGCAGGGAGGGCCACCAGTTCAGCCCGGGAGAAACCACGCGGCACGTTAAGTGTCTGCCGGATTTTACGTGGACTGAAACTCCACCTCCCTGTGAAAGTAAGTGTGTGTGGCTTCGGCTTCCTTACCCTGGTGATTTGACAAAATTCTTACCACTGTACGTGGTCTGCTGTTGTGCAGATCGCAGGGTGGGGGAGAGGGGGGTGCTGTGGGTGCCCAGCTTGGTGTGACTCTGGTCTTTGCTGTGACTCTTGAACGCCTTTGATTTCTTCCCCAGCCACGGGCATTTTTCTGCTTTATTTACCAGCTATGCTTTCTAGTCCCTTGAACCTGTGGAAAAAGTCATTGTGGTGTTGAGGGCCCCTTGCTCCGTCCGAGGGGAAGCTGCAGTGCAGGGTCCCTTGCGAACACCCCGTCCCCCAGGAGCACGCGGGGACGGCGTTGGGGCAGATTCAGTGTTGCGATGTGTCTTTGTCTTACAAAGCATTCATCCTTCTGCTTACAACGAATCTGCTGTCATCCAGGTGGCTTTGCCGTGGGTTCACACTTGCTAATGTTTGGCATTTCTCAGGAATTCGTTGCCCAAATCCAGACGTCAGGAATGGAAAGCCCTTACATGCATGGGAAGACAAAGACAGTTATGCGTACGGAGACAGACTGGAAATTACGTGTAATGATGGCTACGCTTTCAAAGGTCATAGCAATACCGTTGTGCTCCAGTGTACAAGTGATGGTAGATGGGGTCCAGCAGTACCGGAGTGCACTCCAGGTAGGCGAGGGCTGGTGAAGCGTGTTGACTTGGCGACTACTTAGTTCTGAGTGCAAAGGTTTGGGTCGCTCTGTACGGTGTAGTTGTCTGCTGACATTCGCAGAAAAATCTACATGTGGCCTTAGATGATGGTAGTAGCAGGATACACTGCCGTGCATCCCCAGGTCTAGTCACCCAGTGTTAACCTGGAAGAAATAGGCAGCAAAAGATCCAGATGGATCATTATATTACCTGGGGATTGGGAAAAGTATGGGGTTTTGGCAGGGAGCTGAGCCGGTGCCTGGGGAGGTGGGATGGGAAGGGGAGGTCTTCGGTAGCTTTTAGAGGCTTAGGAGGTTCCTAAGAAGCCTGGGAGACGTTTACCCAGCTGGAAGGGGATGTGGTTTGTGCTTTGGACAGCAGCTGGGCTGATTTTGCTGACTTGAGGCTTGGGAGCAGAGGATGTTCTCAGTGCATTTCCCCTCTCAGAAGAAAATGCAACAGCATAAATAGCCGACACTGCTGAAACTAATAACCTAGCAATGGGGCACCACAGCAATATCAGCGAGCTGCTGGAAGTGGCCTGAGCCCAAAAGCTCAGGAAAACCTTGCCAGGAGGAAAGATCCTGCTCCACCTCGCAGGAGCAGGGACAATTCGTTGTCCTGGCCCTAACACAGCTCAGTGGGAAAGCAGGGGTGCTGAGGGCCCCGAGGGGAGACTCGCTCGGGCGTGGGCCCAGCTCTGCAGCATGTGCCTTTCCCAGTAGCCTCAGAAAAACCTGCTTGTAAAAGCAGAAACTCCTTTACAGTTAAAAGTTGAGACCTGCATCTGGATGATAGTCACCTTTTTTCCCAGGGTTCAGATGTTCTTGATAACGGTCTTCTCCATAGCAAGCATCTTCACTGGAGTTCTTTCTGAAAATACGTGAGAATACATGTCATCATCCTTTATTTTCCATTGTTTCTAGAACCTCGTTGCCCAAAGCCCAATACTACTCATGGAAGAGAGGTTTATAAGAGCAAAAATGACTACACAGTTGGGACCCGACTGAGGCTGGGGTGTGATTCGGGCTATGTCCTCAGGGGCCAGGACTCGACCGAGTGTCAGGCTGATGCGAGCTGGGCTCCTCCATTACCATTTTGTGATAAAGGTATGTGCAACGCCATGCTGAGAAGAAATTTGGTGCGTGGTTGTTCAGAAACAGCAGTCGGTATGTGACCTGCCTTCAGCATCCGCTTCTGGGGAGCGGGGTGATGATCACCGGCTCACGGGCTGAAAGCGTTGAGGTGTCTTCTCCCTGGAGATGTGACCCAGGTGGGAGCTGGGCGAGAAGCGGGACCCTCGAGCTGGTGTAAGAGGCAAGAAGCCAGGCAGCAACTTACGTGAATTTGCCACGCTACAAACACGAAGTTAACTCTTGTACTGATTTCCCGGAGGCGATTTTGATTCTCACCTCAATATGAGAATCCCGTGTTTCTTTTCTTACCAATTCCATTTATTCCACAGTCTGTGGCCCCCCGCCACAGGTCGCCAACGGGCAGCACTCTGGCTTGGGACGGGAGCAGTTCCCCTACGGCGCAGAGGTGACGTACAGCTGTGCGGAGGGTCTGTCCCTCCTTGGGGACGCCTCCGTCTACTGCACCTCCGACGACGGGGAGAGCCTGGCGTGGAGCGGACCTGCCCCGGAGTGCAGGGGTGAGCCGTTCCTCCCGTGCGGGGCCAGACCGAAGCCAGGACCTGGGTGCAATGCTGGGCTAAGCCCCAGCCCCGTTATCCGCCCTGGTCCAGGAGCTCCAAACCCAGAGCAGCTTAATGACCGTGCTCCTTTGGCTCCGTGCGAAGGTCTCGGCACCATGAGCTGCTCAGTTACACCAGGGACTGGTGGGGTCTCCTTGGGGGCTGCTGCAGGCAGCTGAGGGTCAGTTCCTCTGTTTGAGCATAAAACTGATGCATCAGGCAGAGCGGCTCTGCCCCGCCTGGCCAGGACCTGGGTGCAATGCTGGGGCTCTGCCCGGGGATCCCGCGTCTTTCGCAGGCTGCTTCGCAGGCTCGACAGCTCCGGGCTGGGGGTGATCCTC